GCCATGGCTCTTGGGTTGGAGGTAGTCGCTCTTGGGTTGGAGGCCATGGCTCTTGGGTTGGAGGCCATCGCTATTAGGATCCCTGTTTGGGGAGTACCACACCGGCCTTGCAGACTCTTGTATGTCCTTCTCGCGCTGCCACCAGAAGAGGGGTCGAGCCGTTCTTGCTCAAAGCATCCACATTCGCCTGGCGCTTTCGCTTTCGACGCTCCATGGGACTGGACATATATACTATATTGGGTCTAGCCTATTACCAGGGCCCAGTGGATGATGGTTCAGTTTGCATGGTCTCGTTCCAAAAAAACATGATCATATATATTATATATTCGTATATGTCATAATATGATGACATATAATATATGTCATCATATTATGACATATACGAATATCTCACCTACACGACCTACATTGACTTCTGAAATCAACCACCATCAACCATCCCAATGTACCTACGTAGGTCACATTTGTCATAGGGGATGGTTGATGGGTCCCTGGATGTTGGTGGCTCTATCAACGAGTATCTCGATCAGTACGACCCATGAGACCTGCCATAGGACTGCCACCCCATTGACCCCCTTTCAACCGCCCCAACTGATCGGCATATATGGCAGTCCATGGGTCGTGTCTGGGTATTGATTTTTACTTATAGGGAGGGGTTAATGAGGAGCAACTTTCCTAATCTCCTCTGCTACAACTGGTGGAACTGAGACGTTCTCAGGTCCCATGTTCGAAGGTATGAACTGAGACTCCAGGTAGTCACAGTCAAGTCCTTTTGGTTCCTTGTCAGATGCTGCGGCTTCGCCCGCTTTGCATGGCCTGATTCGCTGCCGTTTCGCAGCTTCGCGAGACAACACCGAAACGGACGGAAACGGAGCAGCGCCAGCCTTCATCATCAGAAGGAACTCACAGACCTCGCTCGGTGCGAAGAGGTGCGAAGAGGTGCGAAGAGGTGCGACCCAAGCTACAAAAGTAGACCAGCTAGCTTCAAGTCAACAGAAAAGAATCTACAAATGAATCTGAATGAATATAAACAAAACTTGTCTCCCAAGAGAGCCCCTTCTCTCCCAGGTATGTAGCCGTTGAAACGCTTCTCTCCCAAGATAGCGCACAGTCGGCCTCCTCGTGTCCAAGATAGCAAGCTTCATGAAGCGGAGTATAGCCATAGGAGCCCTGGCGACCAATCGACACCGGCGAGACCCAAAGCGACAGGGAATCGGCACGAGGCGCGACCAGTCCACCAGCCCCAAGCCGATCCGAAACCGAACCGACTGGACCCGACTGCGGCCTCTCGACATGTCGACAAGTGGAGACAACACAGAAGCCGTACCTGAGGTTCGATACGAACTGGATTCCTATAAGGGTAATGAAGATCATGAAGAACCACCTGGATCCACCTGGTAGGTCGTGCGACCTGATCGGTCTCCTGGTGCCATGACCCACCAAATTTCAAAGCACTCATCCTAAGAGCCCCAATTTCTGCCCCAGGCAGGCCGCAGAAAGCACCATCTCAGCGCGAGATGTCATGCGCAGCGACGGGTCAAACCCGCGCCGGGTGGTCAATGCGGACGCGCGAATCACGCGCGCGTGGCGTGGCCTTGGCGTTCAAGTTGCCACCCTTTTCGGTAATGAGCTTCAAGATTGGAATGCGGGCACTGTGGGTTGCCTGGCCCAGGGGCACCATGCTGCTGCTGATCAGCGGCACGGACGCAAGCGGCCGCCCGATGCGCCGCCAACTCTACATGGACACGATCAAACCACACAAACCCAAGTTGTATGAGATTGTATGCACCTGGAGTCTCAGTTCGTACCATGTTCGCACCTTATAAGTAAATGGGACATGACCATGACCTGATCAAAACGGCTAATTACCTAGGACCTCAGAAGATCAAAGAGTCATCGATCGATACCCATTTTCCGAGGTACTTTCAACTCTCGCAGGTCTCCAAGTAACAACCGTCACTTCCTTTTCTTTTCGCGTGACCGAGCAGAACCGTCACGGTACCTTTCGGGCGGAGCACAACGCGTCGGTTCGCCGCTACGGTGGCACCTTCTGCATCAGGGTGGCACCTTCCGCATCTCGGAGCTTCACACTCATGCCCTGCGGAGGGCGTGCGTGGGCTGCGTGGGCTGCGCGTCTGAGCTATATGCATTTCTGTTTTAGCCATCTCACTGATTTCATCTGGAACGGTTTCCCCTCTTAGAACGCTTCCTGATCGTGATTTTGTTCATTGTTGCTCCGCTCCTAGTTATTCGGCAGTCGCACACGCCCAGGAGATGAGCCGCATCGATCGACACGTGCGACCAGTGTCATCATGTGTCATCCTCTCAGTGCAGTCTGTTTAGACGGTAAACATGCACTGTTTTTTTAACACCTCAATGGGCACCCCGAAGTCTTCTTAAGTCTTCTTAAACTCAAGAATTACTCACATGAACTGTCTAAGTGCATTACCTATTCACAAGAGATGCTAATGAGTAGGATGCAATTATATAGTCCATGCGCAGCGCGCCCAAAAGAATGGCCTGGGACAGGAGGATCCACACGCACTCTGCATCACCTCTCTCGCACAATTCATGCAAGTCAACCTCAGTCTTGTTCGTTCCAGCGTTGAAACCTGTCACGCTGCGTTCATGCACTGGAAACATGAAAGACTTTCTTCACCGACTCCAAGGAGTCTGTTTGTGGTGCCAAACCGAAGGAACTTGGAGCCGTCGCG